GCATCCGATCAGAGAGAATTGGAGAACCCCAGCTGTATCTGCGTCTGGATTTTTTGGTTTATCATCTCGCATAGGTGAGACGAAGCAATCTTCATTATTTCTTCTGTTTGAGTTCTAAAAATTTCTGGGTTTTCTCTCTTTTTGAGATTGGAATTGATCTGGGTGTTTGGCGGATCTGTGTGGTTGAATTAAAGATCATGATTTGTGTTTGATCAGGTTTTTGCCCTGTTGTTTTTGATTGTTTGGATGCATGGATATGTCTAGTTTATGTTTGAGCTGATCAGTTCTTATTCCAGTTGATGGAATCTTATAGTGTTGGAAGCAGATGTGCTGTCTCACTGTTAGCTTAAATCAACTTGTGCTTGATTAGTGCTTACTAGAGATTAAATAACTTATTTTCATTTGCTTCAGTGCTGGATAAACTGAAAAGCAAATAAGCGTTTCTTTTATTAAAAAAAAAATAATAATTTTTTGCTTATGTTTCTAGATTTATTGCTCACTGGAATTCATTATGCTAGAAAGATAAAAACTCTTTAGGGAGTGGGAGAGAAAAATGGGAGTTTAGTCAGAATTTAGGCGCAAGATAAATGATTATGTTATCATTTACATTTTTTCTGTTGGGAAAATTGTATTAACACAACCTGCATCTGCTTATTGTTCGTGTGTTCAACGAAGGGCTATGCTTGGAACAAATGGAAATCATTTTTTCACTCTCAAAAAATGAAAATCATTTGAAATTTTTCGTTTCTTTAGCTAAGAGATTGTGAAAATTCCATTCAGAATTAGGGAAATTGACTTCCTAGACAATTTCAAGCCAACTATAAACAATGTCTTCCATTCCATATCTCGAGGAGGTGAATTTTCAACTCTTTCTGTAGAATTTCCATCCTCTCCTGATTTAATTAAGGGTGAATTTCCACACTAGTTCCACAGAAAACAGTTTATTCCAAAGTAGCCTAAGTTTCTATTCCTTTTATTGTTTCTTATATTCTTGAGGTGGATAGATCAAATTTTTTGAAAAGAAGATTAACCTAATGAACAAAATTTCATTGGGTCTGTTTCTTGTTGCTAAATCATGAAGTTTCAGGCAGTAACAATGTCAACTCCGGCAAGGAAAAGGCTTATGAGAGATTTCAAGAGATTGCAGCAAGACCCACCTGCAGGAATCAGTGGAGCACCCCAAGATAACAATATAATGCTTTGGAATGCTGTGATATTTGGGTAAGTTGAGGGGTTAGTTTGGGGAAATGTTTGCGATGTGTCTTCTTTTTTTTATCATTTGGTTACTGTTTGATCTTTAACTTTCAAAATTTTTTATTTATCTAAGTTTGAATTGATGAGACTTTTTTGTGGTTTCTTGTTTGATTTGGACTGCAGGCCTGATGATACTCCATGGGATGGAGGTGAGTAATACATGCATCGAAACTTTTAATATGGACATCGATGTCCCAGGCAACGATTGCAAATTATTTCGCAATTTTGCATATGATCAACTTATGGATTTTTAGAATATGTGAACTTCCCATTTAATCTTAAACTCGGGAAACATATGCTTCAAAATAGGGTACCATTATTGCTTTTGATTTTGTCCAATGAGAGGTTTCTCTTGTGTCTGTTTAAACGGAGATTATCCTAGGGTTTTGAGTTTCAAATATTGACCATATTTCATAACAACAGAACAAGGAATACTGGTTTTTCTTGTAATAATATATCCACGAGTAAAGGGTAATTGAATAGTTTGTCCTCATGGCCATCACAGTTACCTTAATGTGTAGTCGCTCTTGGACGCTTTTCTTTGACCAGTGACCTAGAATAGGAAAAAACAACTCAGTTTCAGCAGTGAATATTTCATTTGAATGCATGTAATGGGTTTATTTGTAGGATGTACTTTTAGGGAAATGGGTTTTTCGTTTTCTCAAAACTGCTTGCAGTTTATAAGTCTTTTTTATGGTTTTGTCTTTTGGATCCTTTCCTTTTTCAGTATATGCATGCAAGCGTGCATATGCTTTGTTTGAACCAACGTAACGACAATTTTGGAATTTCTCAGGTACATTCAAGTTGACTCTTCAGTTCACAGAAGATTATCCAAACAAACCCCCAACTGTGCGATTTGTTTCCCGAATGTTTCATCCAAATAGTAAGTTAGAGTTCAATCATATAACTGTTAGTCTGTTTGATTCCGAATATCATACAAGTAATCTTGATTTTGATTCTGCTCAGTCTATGCTGATGGAAGTATTTGTCTGGATATTCTACAAAATCAATGGAGTCCTATATATGATGTTGCAGCTATACTCACATCAATCCAGGTATGGGTTAATGTTCATTCTAGATTTTCTGTTGCTCTATTTATGACATGGTTTCCTTGTTTATATATGTTCCTGCAAATCTCAATCATCTTTATTTTTTTAAATAACTCCAATGGTGTTTTTGGACCCGATATTGGTGCATGTGAATGTACATATGCACGTGCATGCATGCAGCATAATCATAGAATGGATGGAAACTGTAGTCACTATAACTGTTGCTAAAACTTTTGTCCGATATAGGCGATCATCGAAGTAGGTTAAGAAAGTGTAGTTGTGATGTCCAGTGAAAAAAGAAAGTGTATCGTAATACCGAACTAATTAAGTACATGTTACTTTTAGATTCTAAAATCTAAAATTGGTTGACATTTAAATGCGAACATTTCTAGTGTTTCTTGGCTGTTGGTGTGAACCTCATGTTTAGCTTATCCCATTCTATTCCATATCATGCCAGCTAATATCTATTAATGTTATGGCGTTCTTGCCTTCCAGAAAGGTAACTTTAATTGCTTAACTTTCTGTTTGATCAACGTAATTTAAATACAGGATAACTTACCATTTCTAACAGGGAAATGTTATCGTACAATCGTAGACAAACATTATAATACACGTGTTGAAAAACTGAGAAGATGGCTTATTGAGACTTACAGACAACAAGGTTCTTGTTTGCTTTTTGTTTGTCCAAAACATAACTTTTAGTCAGATTAGAAGTTGGTTCGAAATGGCTGCCATAGAACAACTGGAACTTAGATATGGTGGTATGCTCCTTCTGGCCTAGAGTTTGTTTTTCATCTCAGCTGTGACAAATTACAGATGTTACTTTTCTTCTAATAACTTATGTTTTCCTTCAATAATGTATAAGATTGATTTGTGTGACACGCAATTCTATTCTTCGAGCAAAAGAAAAATTGCTTGTAATGCTATAAAGTGAGGCTTGCATATTGAAAATATGGTATACCGTATGTCATACTTACGGAAAGAAAGAAATGTTAGGAACTATCTTCTAACTTAATTGTTCTTGATGGAGAATGGTAAAGACTATACATCCTGAGCAACATGCTGTTATTTTGCATTTCAAATATGTCGGTTTGAACCACCTTGTACATATTAAAATGTTGTTTTCCTCATATATCAGTCATTACTCTGCGATCCCAACCCAAACTCTCCGGCAAATTCAGAAGCTGCTCGGATGTTTAGTGAGAACAAACGTGAGTACAACCGACGGGTGAGGGAAATCGTGGAGCAGAGCTGGACAGCAGACTAGAGTCCATTATCTTGTGCTGGTGGAGTGGTGTAGGTCAGAATATTTGGGAGCAAGTTTGATTCATGATGCGTCGTCGTAAACCAATGTGAACTTATCGCATATCTGCCCTCCATGTAATGAATGTTAGGGTTATTTGATCTTGTTTTTATATCATGGATTTTAGTTATGGATCTTCAAATGTGTGTAAAATAAATAACTTGTGTAAATTTGCTTGAATTGTCATGCTTTAAAACTTGGCTCCATCTAAAATTTCTCAGTCTGACTGGAGAGGTAGGAGTGTTATTCCCTTTGTTAGTTCACTCTTTTTAACTTTTGAATCTCATATGTTGGTAAAAATATGGTGTCAGATTAATCTCTCAATTTTATATATCAACTATCTTAGTTGAACGAGAGATTTAAAAATATTAATATGAATCAGTTCAAATCTGTCAAAAGAATATAATAAAGAATTTACAAAACTGGTAATATTTTCTTTAAAAGACTATCCGATTGAACAAGGAATTTGGTTAGAGATTTCTCGTTTTCAAGGTGCCAAAAAAAAGGCAGAAGAATCAGACAATTTTATTGGAATTCCAACAGAAAAATTGGAGGAAGCAACAGAGGAGAGGTTACATATATTATATGTCTTTTACTGATATTTTTTGAAACCAATTTCATACAATTTGTATCATCAACCGAGTAACCGTATATAATAAAATACTAAACAAACAAATCCCAATTCAAACAACCAGCAAACCAAAAAGGAAAAGGAACACTTTCACCCTAATTCTTTCTATACAATGGAAAAGCCTCCAACACAAACCAAGCATGAATCTCTGAATTCTGATAAGGTTCAGAGTCCAAGATGCTGCCTTACACTTGAGCTTCAATTATGCTGATTTCTTCTGCTGGTGGAGCATCCTACAAGAATACAAGATGAGTGACAAACTGTCAGATTAAGATACAGGCATACATTCAAATCTCAAATATAATTTTTCAATGGCATCTACAAATATTATACATCACTTCAGCCAAACCATGCTTCCGGAAAAGCAAATGCAAATCAATGATGCAAGTACTTCAACCAGGATGGTAAAAAAAAAATGTTATATTGTTTACCATATTTTCTTTGTTCTCTTCAACCATATCTGATTCTGGACCAACTGGAGTTACTAGACCTGTTTATCATAAAACCCATCAGGCGAGAAATCGAAATAAAACCCATATATTATCATATTAAATATCGGTTGACTTGCCTTCCTCGGTAGCTGATTTCTTTCCATGCTTCCTGTTCCTCTCTTTCTCTTTGTTAGACTCGGGCTTAGTGATCTTCTCAGCTTTTTTCTGAAACTTGCGACCTCCCATCTCTGAAACACTTCTTGAATTTGCGGACGTCTTGTTATTCAAGGATCTTTTGGTCCTTGTTACAGGATTGTTTTTTGGACTAGTCTCCTTGGCTGATTCTGTGCATGGGGAAGCTTGACCGAGATTGTTATTCAAGGACTTGGGATTCAGTTTCCTGCTTCCCGTTACAGAAGAAGTACTGCGAACCTCATCATCTGATGACCGACTTCCCTCTGCTGGAACCTGGGAACAGATTTCTGAGACCTGCAACTGCTCTGAAGTGTCCGAGATGTTGTAGTTTTCAAATAACTCTCTGACTGCATCACCAAGCTCCGTAAGGTTATGTCGGCGTACATAGGATTTAAGTTCATCACGTACGGGCTGTAAGGGCTGGTTTGGGATTATCCATATTAGTTGCATAGAACTCAATGAGCCTCAACCAGCGGCCATATGAATAGCATATATAAACTAAGTGAAAGCTAAAACATCATGACCAATGTATCTGAGATAGACAAAAAGTTTACAAAAATGAAAAAGGATATCCTGAGAAAGAAACTAGGTTGTGGACTGCCTCTGTTCTAGCAATTCATGTGAGGTCAGAACAGAGAACTTTCTTCTTCAAAAAAGGCTTTATTTAACTTGGACACCCCAAATGACAACCTCAAAAGACAATTTGTAATGATAGGAACAGGTTAAATCGGATTTTGTTTCCGAACTTTTTGCCTAGGACCGAAGGGAAAGTTTAACATGTCACTTCTAATAACAAGGGTGAAAGAAACATCAGACATAAAGATGTCACGAATATGAAGATGGTAACCCATGCCATAAAGGTGCAACTTTGAAGCAGTTGTAGCGCAGTTTAGGGAAAAAAACACAAAAAGAATTGGAAGAAGACATGATCTACCATACCTTGCATCCAGCGTCCAAGGCAAGTTTGAAAAAGGCAAGTGAAATTGAGTGCTTTCCAGCGGATTCAGAAACCTTAACATTGTTTAGCCAATATGACGGTGAAACAATATTACCCAACTTCCCTTGGCTTGCAGTCAATCTAGTTGAACCAGAGAGAGGTGTATTGGTTTTCCCTTGACTATTAGCAGATCTCGTGGATCTAGCCTCAGAAATTGGGGTGATAGTAGTTAGTTTAGGAGCTGGACTAGGAGTTGATTTGGCTGGAATGGAGAGTCTCCTGGGTGGCTTGTTGGACGACTTTTCTTTGGCAGAGAGATCAAGAACACCCATGCTCTTACTGACAGTGGATGCAGGTCGCCCCCTGAACAAGGACAGCCAATTAGCTAAATCCATTATTCTGAGAAACAGAGATGGTAAAAAGAACTGAAACAAAGATATCATATATGTGCTTGGTATCAAGTATTTCAAGTACAACTTAACTTTTTGAATTCATTTCATAATTAAATTTGGTTTTGTGAGTGTCTAACTTATTGCTAAAGTTTAATCAACATCTACCACTTACATCTCCCCCTTAAAGTTCATATCATTACCATCATAACCTAAAAATAAAGAAACAGGGCATTTTCCACTTTAGTCAAGCCTCTCCCTCGTTCAAAACAAACTTAAGCCACTTAAGTTCATCTACATAATAATCTACTATACGACTTGACTTCACCACCACCACCACCACCAAGACCTCACTGTTCTTTCGGGGATTTCTGCAGAAAATACGTGTACTTTTGCTTTCCCAAAAATCCCATTTATATTTGGCCGTCTGTAACTTTCTTCTCTTTCCTTTTCGCGGTAAACCTTTTTTCTTTTTTTACATTCCGCAGAAGGATGCCATGAAGCAAAATACCGAGAAGTACAAATTTGCTTTATTATGAAAACAGAACGTTCAAATGAAGACACCTTTTAACAAGAGTCCATCTTCCAATTCCTTCCTAAACATGATCCAGTTAAACCCTTTAAAATTCACTCCCGATTCACCAGAAAAAAGAAAATTTGAACCAAAATCAAACAAATCAATCAAATTTCGAGACGCCCATTTCTCTTTGACCCTTTTTGTCAAACAAAAACAAATCGCCACTTACCGACACTGACAAACGCCAAACCTCAAGTAATTTTTGCATCCAACTAACTATAAATTAGATAAGAAAAAAATCAGAAAGAGAAGAAAATTGCGTATAGTACCTCTTGGATGAGGAATCTGACAACTTAGAGAGAGAGGATTTCTCCTCCTTGGACTTAGTCGCTGATCGAAGAGGATACCTAAGCTTTGATTTCACAGCTTTCCATTCCAAAAAAAAAAATTAAAGTTGATACAACAAAGCTCCGAATCTCATTTCGTTGCAGATAAGGTAATTAAGAGGAAACCAAATACAGATGTTTACAAACAAAAAAAAAAAGAAAATGAGGCAAATCCTGATAAGAAGAAGTACCAGAAACGGCAGGAGCGGACTGTTCTTTGCTGGATTCCTCCATTGTTGAAGGTATTTTCTTTCCTCTTTCAAGCTCTTTTCTGTTTGGAGATTGACGAGAGAAACTGAATTTCTATACCGAGTTGAAAATATCAGAGAATGCGTGTTTATAGTGGTTCTGCTCCGCTTCTTCTTTTGATTAATCTTAAAACGCAGCGTTTTATTTGTTCATTTGCCGTTTCATCATTTGAGCGGGAAAATTTAGGGACAGCCCGAACCAACCAAAAAGAAAATTTTAAATCTTACAACTAATTACATATCGTGTATGTTAAACTCGCGCTAGATTTTCGACACGTGTGATATTAGACGGCCTAGATTACGGCTTCTCAGGGTGTAGCGCGTCGAGTTTGGACTGTCACGATGATGTGATGATAAGGAGGAGGATCTTCGAACGGTGCTGGGGACCCAATGCACTAAAAACGCTCCATTAATTCGAATTTCGAATTTCAAATTCTCCGTGCCGTTGATTTGTAACAACTTTTTTACGGTTATTAAGGTTGAAATTTTTGTTTGGTCCATTGACAACGTGGACTCTCGCTTGCTTATCTGGCTCATGGGTCCCACCACGTAGCTTTGTCTGATTTGCAAAGTAGGGCCCACTGAGCCTTTGTCTTATAAGATTTGGGCCGGAGAGTTAAAAAAAAAAAAAAAGGTGCCGAAGGAATTATTTTTTTACGCGTTAGAAAGACAAAAAGCGAAAGTGATTCGATTTTATTATTAATTATTACCATAATATTTGAAATTATAATTAATGTTATGTTTATAAATATTTAGAAAATTTATGTAAAATTTACGTTTATTTTAAGTACAAAATTATAAAAATTATTTTTTAAAATACATTATATGGAATTTCATGTACAATTGGAAGAAAATGTTGTTTTAAACTTTATGAAATTCATTTACAATTTAATATTTAATATTATATATATATATATATATATATATAGTAATTGATGTTTTGTAATATTTCATGTGGAACTAAAATAACGTCTTTAAAATTTTGTTAAGGTTGATGAAATTTGTAATGTACATATTTTATTTTCACATAGGTTTTTATATAATATTAATTTTTATCATTTTCTAATAAAATATAATGCAAATTTACAAATAAGGTTCATAAAATTTTCAACTTCTTGTTATTTTTTCCTACTTTATAAACATACAAATTGTAATAATTTTATAAATAGGTCATTTAACATATTTTATTTAATTACTCAACTAAAATATTTCACAATGTATAAAATTATCCAAAATAAATATTAATTAAAAAAATATCCAATACGCATATAAAATCTAAAAATTAAACTAAAGAATAACAATTGCAAAAACAATACTCCATCGAAATTTGATGCATATACAATGTTACATAAAAAGAGAGTTTGAGCACCTCGAGCTCCACTTTAGAAGTACGTACCCATTTTAGCTTCTAGTTATATATTACTTGTAACGACCCCAGAAATATTAAAATGAAATGAGTATTTAAATATATAAATTGCGGAAGCGAGATCAAAATTTCAGTTAACATCCCTTACACGAAAAACCAAAAACGTACTTAAAATATAAAAGATTAAACTAACTAAGAGAGAAACTCGAAAATAAAACTATGAGTATGACTACAGAGTCTCTAGGCATCCCCTTCGTCGTCCTCCTGCGGAACGGGCTCGGGAACCATGTCTTTCTGATCTGAAATGGTTAAGTAAGGAGTGAGCTACACTAGCCCAGTAAGAACATCACGATATCTCACCGTCACGGAGGTAAAGGTGGGTAGAAAACACAAAAAAGACCAATGGAGCATAATTTACAACAAACTCATTTATTAACATGAAAACCTTTACCATCCACTTACCTCGGTGGAATTTATGGAAACAATATAAGAAAAACAATAACATTATCATAATCATGGAATAATATAAGCTGTAAAACATAACACTTATCACGCCTCTTGTAATTCAATCATTATACAACATATCTTTTTCTCATTTACCAGCCTACTAGTATCCGTGGGGGTCCATAGGGGTTCCGCTACCCGTTAACCTTTAACATCCATAATCAGTTTCCAGGACCGTCCCCATACCCCGTCCGGTATGGGCACCAAAACCATGAACCTCAATACCCCGTCCGGTATGAGGGTGAAACGGGCCGTCCCCATACCCCGTCCGGTATAGGCACCAAAACCATAAACCTCAATACCCCGTCCGGTATGAGGGTGAAACGGGCCGTCCCCATACCCCGTCCGGTATGGGCGCCAAAACCATAAGATCTCCATACCCCGTCTGGCATGTGAGACCACAATCCCGGTAGGGTTCCCTACGGACCCGGTCCGTCCACCATCTCCCAGGATATCTAGTCAGGCTGACCCCCATAATACAATTATCAGTCTACACAATCTTTCATTTTCCTTTTCCTCAGTCAGCATCATCAATTCACATACAAACAAGCAAGACAGTAATTCATGCCAAACAAACAACATACAGTATCAGTTTTTCAGTCATTCAACCCATGATTAATAAAAACGTAGTATATGCACACAAATCTGTAAAATGAACACATCAAACCTCATTTTGCATTTAAAGCTGTAAACAGGCCAAATAACAGTAAATCACCAATCACACTAGACTCGGGCTCCATTAGCCACCTTAAGCAATTTCACACATTCGTTAATTCAAGAAATACCGTTTTA